ACATAATAGCCATTATAGAGGTTTGGTTGTAAGAATAGGAAGAAAGGGAAAGGAGGTGGGCGGCTCTGTTAATAAAGGTTGAGATCAGTATTGGAGTGAGAAATGACATTGATTTGGAGAATGAAAATGTAGAATCTGTTTACGTGGAGATGAGAAAAAGCAAAGGAAAGAAGTCACTTGTGGGAGTGGTTTACAGTCTCCATGTCACCAGCTACACTGTGGTACCGAATATAAATAAAGAAATAATGCAGCCTTGTCGGAAAGGAACAGTAATGATAGTCTCAGAGATAGTAGGAACTGCAGATGCTGGAGAGTCTGAGATAACAAGGTGTACAGCTGGATGAACACAGCAGGCCAAGCAGCATCAGAGGAGCAGGAAAGCTGGCGTTTCGGGCCTAGACCCGGTGATTTTAATCTTCATATACATTAGATGAACTATATTACTAAAGGTAGCCCGGAGATGTGTCCATTTTTTTCAGAACAGTTTCATAGAATAATAAATTCTAGAACAAACAGGGCTACCCTAAACCTTGTAACATATAATGAGGCAAGGAAATTAGTTAAGGAACTCAGAATAAAGAATCTTCTTGGAAAGAGGGATAATAGCATGGTGGAATTTCACATTCAGCTCAAGGGCGAGAAATTTGGGTCCGAAACTACTATCTTCAACTTAAATAAAGGAACCTACAAGAGTATATGGGAAAATTGAGTTAAAAATAAGATCACAAGAAGCATTAGCAGACATTTAAGAAGTTATTTCATAATTTTCAACAAAGATATTGAGAAGGATAGACTCAATAAAAAGGATGCATTATCTATGGCTAAACAAGGAAGTTAAAGACAGTATCAAACTTGTAAAACACACAATGCTTCAAAGCTTAGGAGTGGGTCAGAAGATTTGAAAAATTTTTGAAGAAGCTTAGAAACTAGTAAAAGATGGCTTTAAAAAGTGAGAAAATTGGGAGGACAATTATAGAGTCATACAGCATGGAAACAGACCCTTTGATCCATAGTCCATGCTGACCAAGTTTCCAAACCAAACTAGTCCCACTTGCCTGCATTTGGCCCATATCTCTCCAAACCTTTCCTTTTCATGTACTTATCCAAATGTCTTTTAAATGTTGTAACTGTACCTGCACCCACCATTTCTTCAGGCAGTTCATTCTCTGTGTAAAAAAGCTGCACTTCATGTCCTTTTCAAATCTTTCTCCTCTCACCTTAAAAATATGCCCCCTAGCTCCCCTACCCTAAGGAAAAGATCCCTGCGATTCACCCTATGTATGCCCCTCATGATGTTACAAGCTTCTATAAGGTCACTCCTCAACCTTCTACACGCCAGTGAAAAATGTCCCAGCCTATCTTTATAACTTAAACTTTCCATTCCCGGCATCATCCTGGCAAATCTTTTCAGAACCGTCTCCAATTTAATATTATCCTTCCCGTAGTAGGACCACTAGAACTGTACACAGTACTCCAGAAGAAGCCTCCTGTCCTGTGCAATTTCAACATGACATCCCAACTCCTATACTTAAAGGTCTTAGCAATGAAGGCAAGTGTGCTAAATGCCAGAAAACTAGCAATAAACATTAAAAGGGAGTTTGAACATAGGAACAAAGTAGACTATTCAGCCCAGTGAGCCTGCCCCACCATTCAATATGATCATGGCTGATCAAACACTTCAACACCTTTTACTCACAACACCCTCATAAGCCTGTACAGGACGTCCCTGATTCATGAACGCCCAACTTACAAACATGATCCCATACCAAAGTGCACTTTTAAATATCCAACACACCAACATGTCCTGTACTTACAAACAGCTGCTGTATATTATCCTTTCAGAGATAGTAGGAACTGCAGATGCTGGAGAATCTGAGATAACAAGGTGTTAAGCTAGATGAACACAGCAGGCCAAGCAGCATCAGAGGAGCAGGAAAGCTGACGTTTCGGGTCTAGACCCTTCTTCAGAAA